CATGAGGCTGATTATGGCTTATTTGAATCGTTAAGGTCCAGAACTATATCAGAGGAATCATTTGCACATGATTCAAATAGAGGTGGAAAGAATTTAAAGAAGGGAAGAAGGTATGTACCTCCGGATGATATGAGATATCTAGGGTTTGAGGTATGGCATGGCTTTGAGGATAAGTGGCAACTTATTAGATATATCAAGCTCCATTTAGTTGTTGATAGGCGACATATAAGATTCAAAAAACATGACTCAAAGTATGTTAGGGCAATTTGCAAAGGGGAGGGATGCAACTGGGTACTGTATGCAGTTAGGGTGAGTCCAAATAAACAGACGTTTTAGATTACGACTCACCAAGACAAACACACTTGTCCAAGACTAGATAAAATAAGGAACTGTACTGCCTATGTGGTTGCCGAGTGGTACCTCGAAGATTTGGCAGTGGCGCCTACCCTCAGTCCCCGCTTCATTAAACATAGGGTTAAGAAGGACCATCGATTGAAGATCTCAAGAAGCTAGGCCTTGAGGGTTAAGAGGAAGGCACTTGACATAAACAAAGGTACTATTATGGAGAATTATGCATATTTGTAATCGTATTTGGCCGAAGTGGAAAAGACAAAACCAGGTAGCAAAATTAAGCTTATGACTAAGAAAGACGATCCCTGTAGGTTCCAAAGACTGTACATGTGTTTAGAAGTCTCTAAAAAGGGTTTCAAAGAAGGATGTAGGAAACTGATTGGTGTAGATGGGACCTTCTTGAAGACTCCAACTGGGGGCCAGCTCCTTCCGGCTGTGGGATACGACGCTAATAACCAGATATATCCTGTTGTATTTGTTATTGTTGAGATAGAGAATGAAGATTCATGGAAGTGGTTTTTGGAATACCTCATTGATGACTAGGGAATAACTGATACACCTGAATGGGTCATCATGTTAGATTGGCAAAAGGTACGAGAGTACATTTTAAATTTGTGTTTAATAACAGGCATATCCATTGAGAATGTAAATGAGTGTAAAGCAATTGTATTCATGATACGGAAATTTGGTGTGGATGTTAAGGCTTTGACATGAATTATTTTTTCAGGGTCTTCTTCTAGCTATTGCTACACTTCTGAAAAATATGTCCCACAGATACTGTGTGGAGCACTTATGGAATAATTTCAAGCTAAAGCTCTCCGGATTGAAATTGAAAGCCAGATTGACTATTGCGAAAGCAACAACTGAAGAGGAATGAAACAAGCTGATGAATGATTTGAAGAAGAAGCGTGAAGGAGCATGGAGGTATCTTCATGAAATAGGAGCAAGGCACTGGTGCAGGTTACATTTCTTGACTGAGACAAAGTGTGACATGTTGGTGAACAACATATGTGAAGGCTTCAACAGTGTTTTGGTAAAAGCCCGTGAACTACCAATCTTTGGGTTGTTGGAGTGGTTGAGGCGATACTTGATGGTTAAATACCGCCAGACTAGGAAGCGGATTGAAAAGTCACCATTTGAATTTGGTGACAAAAATCAGGGCCCGTTTAGCGGAATCCCGGGAAGAATCTAATTGTTGCGTTGCAGATTATTGTGGTGATGGTGAGTATGATGTGAACGGGATAAATGAACAGGTTGTTGTGTGCCTTAGAGCCCGAGATCTGAGTTGTGCTTGCCAGAAGTGGGATTTGTCTGGTATTCCATGCCCACATGTAGTAAGGTGCATTCTTGATAATGAGAGAAAGGTGGAAGATTATGTTGACAGATGGTACTCAAAGGAGATGCACCTAGGAGCATATGCATATAGTATCCAGGGGATGAATAGTCCTAAATTTTGGAAGCGAATATCAGACCCACCCCTGTTGCCTCCAGAGTTTAGACCCATGACAGGAAGAGTGAAGGGCAACAGGAACAAGTGACATGATGAACTCCACTGAGTATACAAGAACAAAAAAGGTTGGTATAAGTCCATTAGAAAGGTGGGCTCAGGACACAGTAGGTGCGGTTATTGTCAGGTTACGGGGCATACTAGGAAAAGCTACCCAGATTTGAAACGGGTAATTACCATGTGGAAATGTATTTTTGTTTTACTGAACTTTGTTCTCTAATTCAACATGTGTTGTGTGTTTATGTACCATTATTTGTGATAATAATTGAAAGTTTGGAATTGTTACACAGAGTGATGGCAAAGAGAGTGAGAGTCCCTTAGCAGCACCCAAACAGCGGCGCAGATCGCAAACTAGTTGCAGTTGAACCTTTGGCTGATGATGTAAGCTTTTGTACTTGTATATGTTCTTAAAAGGTTATGACTTCTCGATTGTGTTGGTTTGAATGGCTTTATAATTGACAGACAGGTAAGATCCAACTCAGGTGCTGCAAATGCTCCTTCCAACTTTTGCTGTAAACAAGGATATCATAAAAAAAACTAATACATACTTCCTTAACAAGGCCTTGAATACACGGTTCATGAGTGATTGTAAGCCTAAATGACATCACTAGGAACTCGAAGTGACCATGATGTATCTGAAATGCTGTTTTATGAATATCACTCTTCCTCCTTCTAATCTGGAAATAACCTGATCTCAGATCCAATTTAGAGAAATATTGAGCTCCATATAATTCGTCAGAAAGTTCTTCAATAACTGGAATTGGATATCTATCCTTTATAGTCATTTCATTCAATCTTCTATAGTCCACACAAAACCTCCACTCACCACCTTTTTTTTTACTAGCAAAACAAGGGAAGAATATGGACTGACACTGTATTTCACCACTTTCTTTTTCAGCATTTCAACCACTTGCGTTTCTGTTTCATCTTTATGGGCATGAGGGTAACAATATGGCTTCACTTTGAAAGGTTGAGCATCAAGTTTCAATTTGATACAATGTTCAATTTCCCTGGCAGGTGGAAGTTCAGAAGGTGTTGTAAATACCTGATCAAAGTTTTCTAGTAATCTCCCGAGATCTTCTTGAAAGGGTTCTTCTCCATTTTCCTCTTCTACCTTTGCATCTTCCTCTATCTCAGGGACCGAATGATGGCAATGAGACTAGTAGTACTCCTCTCTGTCCCTGGCTTCCATGTATTCTACGCATTCATCCCTTCTGATTGAAGAAATGGGTGGTTCTATTTCCCCTCCATACAATGTATGAGTTTTTCCATCCCTGGTCAGTTGTATGGTTTGCTTGTCATAATCGAATGCCACAAGACTGAAGGTGAACATCCAATCTACTTCCAAAATGAAATCAAGCCTCCCAAATCCATGATGAGAAAGTCAAACTTAAACCCATAACATTGGATGTCCCAAGCCAGAGAAGGGCACATCAGAGAGCCTTTTGTTTTAGATCCATCCGCCATATTGACCAGAAAACTTGAAGGATAACATCTTCACTATACCACTATGCACAAAACTTGAATCACTGCAAGTGTCTATTTATATGCTAATCCATCTCCCCGATAATCTCCCTTGGATGCTAATGGATTTCTTTTCTTGTTTCCCTCTAATCGCATTAAGGAAAATGTGGTGGATATTTTCTTCCACAAATTCCCCTTCTACCACTTCATGAATCTCCAAATCTAGATCATCCATCTCCCCTTCTTCTGTCAACATGAAGTAAACTTTTGGACATTGATGGCCTAGTCCTATCTTTCTCCACACTTGTGACACAGGTTGTGGTTCTTCCTGTATTGCACTTCTTGCAGAGTTATCCTTTTAAACTGGCCAAATGGAGGTTTCTTTTGGTCATTCTTCCCAGCAAGCTGATGATTCTGGTTTCGACTAGGAAATCCCTCTGATCTCTGCATGTTCTGACCATCCCCTTTGTTCTCTTGACACTTTAATTCCAGTTTCTGTTCTTGCAAAATAGCAGAATCCATCACAGCTTCTAAACTCGAATGGTCCATCATCCTGACCATTAGTTTAAGCTCCTCCATGAGTCTGCTGATGAAGCTTGATATAAAGTAAGACTCTGGCAGGTTCGAATTTATTCTCATCATTTTGGACTTAAGATCCTCAAACCTGTCAATATACTCATGCACACTGCCCACCTGGTGGAGTTTGTTAAACTCTTCCATGTCTCCTTTTTTCCTCTCAGTTCAAAGCTGTGGACCAGAGCTTCCTTATATTCCATCCAACAGACCCTCTTACCCCAGGGATTAAATCCATCATACCACACCTCCCCTTAGCATCCAGAAAAATTTCTACTGTTTCAACCATACAATATTCATGAATTTGATGGAGATTAAAGTATTTTTTACATTAACGAATCCATTCACGCGGGTTATCTCCGGTGAAATTGGTGAGTTCCAACCGTGGTTGCTGGATCCACGGAGCTTTGTTCAACTTTTCCTTCAACGGCATCGGAGTATCCCTGTTCCGCACTACTGTACGAGTGGTGTGAGGATTGTGTAGTATTCCATTGTCATCAGCTATAAGGCTAGAACTTTCTTCATTCAAAGGCTCCTTCCCTTTCACTGGAATTCAAATTGACTGCGGTATGTTCGTGATTTGAACCAGCTAATCCTGCATCGGATTCTGACCATGCTGCATCAAAGCCAAATTCTTTTCCAGTTTTGAAGTCCTTCCATCCATCTTATTCATATACTCATCCATGGAACTCGGAGCTTTTGACCTGGTACTTTGCGCCAAGAATTCCGACTAAGGATCGCCGACTCTGAGATACCAAATGTCAACGTTGGGGGATTTGATTTCCAAATTAAGATTTTAGAATTTAGATTAGATGAGGAGAGAAGGGTAGAATACAAGGATAAGTAGAAATTGGGATAAAGGTATTTAGAGAAAGAAGGATTTTGATTAAAATTTCTAATAATCCAGCAAGATTTCTTCTAATCCCCTTTTACAACAGAAATATTCAGAAGTTGACAAAATAGTGCAGCTTCCATGAAACTGGCTAAATGATAATTAAGCTGAAAATAAACAAAATAGAAGGAAAAGAGAATCGATCCTGGATTGATGAGCTAATATTCCAAAACGTCGCCGTTCTTCCAATAAGTTAGACTTCCCCCAAATTGAATTCAGAATCCCTAACTTCTGTAATTTTCCCTCCAAGGTATGTAAGGGGGTTTATCCACATTTACGTAGGGTCCGCTAGAGTGGATTTAAAAAATAATTAGAAAAAAAGAAAAAGTTTCAAGAGTTGAAGGACTGAATCTACACAGTGTAGAATATCTTAGGCTAAAATATACAGTAGGTTAACCTGACCGGGGCTGAATTTGCGATTGTTCTTAACACGCTCTCCCCACTTCCAATCTCTATTTAAGAGGACACATTCTCAAAAAAACAGAAGCTGAAGAATCCACAAAAGGTGGCATTTGAATCCGAAAGGTAGAAAGGTTCGAAGAAGGATTTGCAATTGTGAATTAGGATTGCAATTTTGCAATTTGCAGAGGATGGACGAAGAAGAAATCGAGAAGGCTGTGTTAGCGTATTTGAAGAAGAAGGGTTTCAAGCAAACCGAATTAGCCTTCCATGAAGAGCAACAGCACAATCTCAAAGCAGCCACAACTCCGGGCGGTAATAGTATCTCCTCCCCGACCTCGAATTCCGATCCCGAAATCGCCCGCCAAATCCTCTCGTTTTCTTCTGAGTAAGATACGTTTCAGTTGGTTGCTATTTCTGAGCAATGGTGTTTCAATTTTTTACTTTTAAATATTTTTCAGTTGCAATGCTCATTTCTGAGTTAGGATTCATTTATTTAAATTCTGTTAATTTTTGTGGAGAATGATGGCTTAGTGCTCCACGAAACTTGTTTGTTTTGCTGGGATTTGAATTTTGAAACTAATAAAAAGATGGGAACTTGGCTCTATTTGTGCATGCGTTTCCCGTTGTTTGAAAATAAACAAACTGGTAATAATAATGCTGATGGTACAGAAAACATTGATGGTGTTGATTTCTTGGCCTAGATTATTAATATGATTATGATGGCTTTCTGTTTAATTGCCAACAATTGTAAATGGATGTAGCAGTAGCTGTAATGGCTAGCATTAGTGCTGTACTCAAAGGGCTAGCATTTCTGCTGTATTCATTTCTTTTTCTGCAAGGGACTCCTATTAGAAGGGCTATCATTAGTGCTGTGTATTCATTTCGACTCAAGCTCGAGCTCGAGTTCGAGCTCAAACTTGGCAAGTGTATAATTGTATTATTTGGTTAGACTCGAATCTGACTCAAGTTTAGTCAGACCTTTCTCGGGTTTTTTGACTATTTTTCAAAATTACTTTTACAATATAAAAATAGGTCATGAAAAGTTGATGTGTTGGCTATTTATTTACATATAAAAATACATGACATTTGGTTTGGCACTCATTCTCATTGGGTGCACCTGCTTTTGAGATACGTGATAAAATTGTGTGCACTGGTTACTACAGAAACTTCTTAATTAACCTCAATGGTAAATGGATACATTCAGATACTACTAGGAATAATTTGTAAACTCTTTTTTTTCCCCTTTCGATTTTGGTGCATATCTTTTGATCTTAGTGCTTATTCAATGGTGATACTTGTTCATGTTTGAATTTTAATATCTGAATTTTATTTATAGATAAATATATTTTAATAAAATGTTTGTTTTAGTGGTATTGAATATTGCTAATGTATTGTCAATCAAATACGTTTATACTTACTATGTTGAATCATGAGAATGATATCATGATTTTATTTCATTTTATTTTGTTTTATTTATTTATGTTTTCATTTAATCCATGTACAGTTGAGATAAATGTATATTGTGTTGTACAATGTGTATTCCATGTAGATTCAATATCTCTGTCCAAACACCGGTTCTTGGAATTAGATTCTTAGTGATTATAGTGGCATACAGAGAAGCAATATTTTTTAAGAAATTTTCCCCCATTAGTAATGGTCCTACGGCATTTTTTTTTTTTCAGCAACCAAATTATTCTTTCAGGGAACTATCATTGGGTTTATGTGAGAATTTAACGTAATCAGTGGCAGAATTACTCATAACCATTTGTCTCTTACTAGTCATCATATTTCCCTTTTAGAGGTAAGTCATGCTATCCATCTTTTAATTAGAGTATTTATTGGTATCTTCTGGTGTTTTAGATTGGAAAATTATCCTGCCCAGTACCATGACGGTTATGGCAAGCTTCGATCATGGGCCTATAGTTCACTGGATCTGTACAAGGTAAATACGATGGACAATGCTATCCTTTTTCTCCTGAATATGCAGTCATATTTAAACACACTCAAAATTCGTCCAGAGTTTTTAAAGTGTTGAAAGATGTAAGGGATCGAGGATTGCACCCTATTTGCCTCTCTGAAGTAGAACATATAAAGCACTGATTATTATAGTATTTTACTGGAAACTGACAATGGGAGAAGAGTCTGATTGGTTGCATCCTCCGTCCTGGAATTTTCTTGTCACTTAGAGGGAAAAATGTCTTGAAAGTAGATTAGAAGCATGTTTGAGATACAATGCAAACAGATGTATAGGGTGTCACAAAAAATATGTTCTCATCATGTGTTAAGTCAATTTTTTTGACATATTTTTTCTCCACATGTAGTGAATTGCCTTACTAGTTTGCGCATATTGAAATTGTTAGAAAGAGTTCTGAATAGTTTTATACATGTTTGACTGAGTCGGCTATACGAATGATGAATTTTTAATAATGATTTTGTTTCTCTCAACTTGCAGCATGAGTTGCTTCGTGTCCTCTACCCAGTATTTATCCATTGTTTTATGGATCTAGTTGCTAAAGGTCACATCCAAGAAGGTACCTAATTTTTTGTTCTCTCTCTGTCTCTCTGTCTCTCTCTCTCTCTCTCTCTTTTTTTTTTTTTAAGGATTTTAGTTTGGGTTTCCTACTGTTATCCTGAACTATGTTAATGTATTAGTACCTTGAATTCCAGCAAGAACTTTCTTTAATAGCTTCCGCGATGACCATGAGATGATGCATTCACGTGACCTCCAAAAACTTGAAGGTGTTCTCTCGCCCTCGCACCTTGAGGTGAATAACTATTCTAATGTATTGAGGGCTTCTGATGCTGTGAGGTGAATATTTAAATGCATTTTGTCCCTAATGTTCCTCTTTTGTCTTGATAGGAGATGGAGTTTGCTCATTCGTTAAGGCAGAGCAAAATTAGCATAAAAATGTGTCAGGTGATTTCCTTACCTATACATGACAAGGGACAAAAAGGGTGGACAACTGATATAGAACAAAAAGAAGAAGCGTAATGATTAAATATCTTACATAGTTTCTTAGATTTTTGCTGTTATTTAGGGATTGCTAATTCATTCCTAGTTTTACTTTGCAAGGCCACTGTTTCTGTTGTATCTTTCTGTTCAGTTTAATCAACAACTTTTTAGTTCACTTTTTAAGTCCTAATGTATTTTTTTGTTCCAGTACTCTCATGACCTTCTGCTACAATACTTGCACAAGACACAATCTATTACTATGCTTGGAGTTATAAATGAGCACATCAACTTTCAAGGTACATATTTGCATATGATATTTGAATCTATCTGGTATTGCCCTGCTAGGAGGTTGTCAATAATATTTTAACTGTGGGATGCTGAGCCTCGGAATGTAGTTTTTGATGAGTGTTTTAGGTTAGAACTAGTAATACTTGTCTCAAAGGAAGCTACCATTTTGAAATTTGCCAAGGAAATTAGAATATTATATACAGTAGTAGCCGATGTTATGCTATAAGAATCAAATCAGCCACTGATAATCAAATGGTCTAAGAATGAAATGCAGAAATGCATATCAGCCTGTACGGGAAATGACTGTTTTAGGGTTTTGTTTGGATTTTGGTGGAGTTGCCTAGAAAATATTTAGAAAGTTGCATTGGAAATGTACGTTGTATAAGAGGTTATAGTTTGAAAAAGAATAGGTTGTCTCGGTATGTGGCTTAAAAACCTTTATTTGATTCAAACTGCTGCTAAATGTTCCAGATAATCAAATGTTTTAATGTATTCTTTCCTATTAAACTGGCTACTGGAATTTACTTATGTTTAATGACAGTCTCTCCTGGACAACCAAGTTCAATTTCTGATGATGCTGATGTTGTCACACTCCTTGGATCGGGGCAGGAGGCAGCGAGCTTGATAAATCAGAGAGAAATACATTGGGGTGTAAGTATCATGAAGGAGACGGTGTTTCTGTTATTTATTTATTATTATTATTTTTTTTTGAACAAATGCTGTTGTAAATATTTGGTTAGTGTAAAGAAAAAATCAGTTTGCAATTGGTAACTAGTGGAATATTAAAGTTCCGGTATGAACCAGTTTGCTTCACTGTTTCATATTTTCTGGATGTGGTGTTTTCTCATTCAATTATCCTCTTGAACTTTTGCTTCCAAAAGGAAGTTTCTATTTGGTTGCATTCTTTTTTATTATTGAAGTTAAATCCAGTTTTGATGTTCTTGGAGATAGCCTTTTTTTTTTTTTTTTTTTGGAAACTAATTGGAGATAGCTCTTTAACTTTCTTTTCTAGTTACACATTTGGGTGAAATGAGTTCATAATTTGTTTTTTTTTTTGTGATGCATCCTTCTGGATTCTGCCTAGTGATCTTTCCTATGTTCCATGCTCATGTGAAAGGCCAATTTCACTTCTATTGTTTAAGATCGCTTCTACTTAAGCATTTTTTTGCCTTTATCCATTGCAACAGTTGCTTGAAGATTCCTTTGAGGAAAGGTTGGAGAAGGCAGGTGGCTTGGTTCCAGATACAGAGAAGTTAGATGGAGAAGCAAAGGAAGCTGAATCGGAAGAAAACAAGGTCCCAAAAGGCCACTCTTATTTTTTGTCTTTTGTTGTATGCTTATAGTTTTTTCATGATCTTCATGTAATGTATTTTCTCTTAATTCATGGATTAAAATCTATTTACTTTTTCTTTCACAGAAGAGATTGCAAGAAGGGGGAAAGCAAGGTTCTTCACTCAAGAAGTTAAAAAAGGATAAGGTTGCTGTTGCAACAGGGAGAGGTTCTCGTGCAGAAAGTAGTACAGTCTCTGCAGCACCACGGGTTAAACCAGAGCTCACGCTGCCATCAATGTACTTTCTACTCTATAATATTTATTTCTAATGCCATAATAAATCTCCATACGTTAAAAGAATCCCACTTAAAAGAGAAGGAAATAGAAAAAGAAATGTTGGGTGCATTTGGAATTCAGTTTATTTCCATGTACTTTTTGTACTGAGATGACCCATGCCATTGGAGAGTCTTTGCTCTAAACGCATTTTCAAAATACACTTCCATTTAACTTTTGTGTTTCATAGAATTGCAATTGTATATGAAAATAAATATATTTTTACAACATGCTGTTACTTATTTCACTAAAATGCATTTCAAAATGTTGTCTATCTGGATTTGTTTTGTTTACGGCTTTTAATGAGAGAGAAACATGTATATTGTATGCTGTGTTAGTCATTAACATGTGATATAGCTATTGCTTATAACCTGGCTGCTCTTACCTTTAACTGGATATTGTTGGTTGTGAATCCATTGCAATTTATATTTAGTTGATTGCATATCAACTATGTTTGCCAGAGATCTTTGTTTAGATGTCATATTAGTGCTAGTGAATTTATGACAAATGACTTCATGACTACCCTTTTTCCTGTACTCATTCAGAGTTACAAGGGAAACTGCCAACCTGGAGAATCAAATTTTGCGGCTCTTATTTCATTTCAAATAGTCAATTTAATAGATGTTTCACCAAGCCTGTTATCTCTATGTTAAAGTGGAGTCTAGATTTTTTTCGAATGCTTTGTACAAACAATATTGCAGATATCACGTTGAAACTTTTGATCTAGATTGGCAAATTTTGAAGTTGGCTATCTTTTTCACAAAATTGTACCATCAAATGAGTGATGAATTTATCACCGATTTATATTTATGCACACTATGGTTACTTTTATTCTGATGTCTCCAGGCTCATGATTTGTGTTTCTCAGACCAGCTGCAGTGGAGCAGTCTATTCTTGAAGACCTTCGCAATCGTGTCCAACTGAGTAGTGCTTGTCTACCATCTGTCAGCTTCTACACATTTATTAACACACACAACGGGTACGTTGGGAAATTTTTGTTCCCTTTACTGTTTTGGAACTTTTATATGATCAGTTGTTGAAATTTGTCAACTGTAATCTGGGTCTTCCAGATTAAATTGTGCATCAATATCCCATGATGGATCACTTGTCGCTGGTGGTTTCTCGGACTCATCACTCAAGGTCTGTCTTCCCTTTTTTACTTTTGTGAATAGGTAGTTGTTGGTTGGGCAACTTCTGACTTGCTGCATTGAATCTACAGATTTGGGATATGGCAAAGCTAGGGCAGCATGTTGATAATGATTTGTCTCCAAATAGCTCCGTACTTGGCACAGACAGTGGAAGAAGATCGTATACGCTCTTTCAGGGTCACTCGGGACCTATTTATTCGACATCCTTTTGCCCTTTCGGAGATTTTGTTCTTTCTTCTTCATCAGATTCGACAAGTGTGCCCTCATTTCTCTTCCAAAAAATTTTAACTTTTAATATCGGCTTCTTTTTGCTGTTTCTTGATTGAGCTTATGTGATTTTGAACTGATGGTGACGATGATGGTATTTTATTGCAGTTCGACTCTGGAGTACAAAATTAAATGCAAATCTTGTATGCTACAAGGGTCATAATTATCCTGTGTGGGATGTTCAGGTTAACTTCTTATTCATCTCTTAAAGCAAACTTATACACCTATTTAAATCACTTGTGTGCATTACTCCTGTGTTTGATGATGCTGAGGAGGCTGAATGACTTTGCTGCTGCATCATATATTAACTTTAACATGAAAATTATTTTACGAATCCTTTTGGGTTAATTGACATGAAGTTGACTTTTGAGTTCTGGTGTTGTAGAAACTACATAAAGAAACAATATTTAACCTATGAATATGTCATGGTTTAATTAAATGACTGACAGTGGCAGAAAGGAGTTCTTTCTTCAGTTTGGTTTCACGCCATAAGGTGAATGTGAATATTGTTTATGAATACCCCATCATTAAACCAGCAGCTTCTTCCATTAAGGGTTGGCATTGTATTACTGGTGCTGGCATTAATGCATTGGTAATAATTTTGTTCCTATGTTATTTAATCGAAGATATGTGCAATTGTGCATTGAGAAGATTAGTCTGACTGTAAATATGGAATTTGCGTTGAAACAATTATGTTCCTTAACCATAATTTTGGGGATTGGTGCCTAGTTTTGTCCACTGCAATATAATAACTTGGTTTATCTTATGGGGACCTTTATATTGAGGAACACATCTACATTGAAATCATGTTTATGGTCGGGTCATCATTATTATAAATGTACCTGCAGATGCACATTTAATAACTTGTAAATCAGGCACTTGGAACAAAATGTTTTTCTCATGTTGTCCTTTTTAATATGAGAAGCATTGATTTGCTAAAAAAAAATTAAAAATAAAATAAATAAAAAAAATGAAGCATTGATTTGCTACTTTCTGCCGCTTTTTGGATGTCGGTCTCATTAGTATTTCCTCCTTCCCAATTCAATCGGTACACTTTCCTCTTTAAGATTTCGATGTCCCAACTTGTTGTCCATTTCATATATGCAGATTAATATACACTTTGAATCCTTTAATATGCCCTTGATCTCAAATTGGTGTTCTCCCTCCTCAACACCTGCCCATTAATTTATCGTCATTACATCCTGGGTGATCTGAAAGTCAATCCAAAATTTACTAAATTCAACCATAGTAGTCACTATTCTAGAACTGCATGTAAAACAACCCTATCGATTTGGGACCGAGGTACTACAATTTTAAAGCATTCCTGGACTTTTTAAAGGAGTGATGAGTGTTGTGGTTTTGCTTTAAGAACCTTTTTGGTACATATAGAAGATGGATACACCTGATTTTAAGCTGAGCCTGCTATTTGCTTTCCAAGCCCTTTCAGATTCGTTTATGTGACATGTAATATTGTTTTAGCTCCACCTTTTATGTGCCCTTTGGGATTCATTGATGCGTTGAGTTCTTGTGTTTTCTTTTAACTTCAGTTCTGTGACCTCTCCCTTCACTATCTTATATTTGTCTTAAGTATACATAAGTTTCCAGCTTCAGAGCATTTCTGAATATTTACCTTCGTATGACTGCAGTTCAGTCCGATGGGGCATTATTTTGCCAGCTGCTCACATGATAGAACTGCAAGGATCTGGACTATGGACAGAATACAGCCGTTGAGGATAATGGCGGGTCATTTGTCTGATGTTGATGTAAGTAGATTATGCTATAATGCTAATGTGACGGCAATCCCCTGTAGCTATTATTTTGTAATGCATATTTTGTTACAGTTCAAAGGAACTATGTCATTAATCAGATAACAAGACTGCTAGTGTGCTCAACTCAAGATTTGCTGACTGTTTTACGAGCTAATTAGATTTCCTAATTTTGTGATAGCATAATCAATTTGAAAGTGTGTATTGATTGGAAATACATGTTCCAGTGCTAGTAAATGTTTCAAACGTTGCTGGACAGTGCTTGATTGGTGGTTGCTAAACAAACAGTCAATCACTGGATCACTTAATGGGCATAATAAGAAGCATATCTGATAACGTCATATATGAGTTTGGCCTGGTTGTTTTTGTGCTCCAGTTTCACTATATTAATCGGCTCATTGTTTACATTTGTTTTTCGTTAATGAGACTATCTGTTTTGGTCATAACCATGTATTGAGCATAGCCGCATTGCAGTTGCAATTCTTAACATCAGTGAAACTTTTCTTGTGTATATCAGTTATGCCTTTGGGTCTTGCTTGTTGTCCTCCGTGCATTTCTTATTATTTATTATGATAGTTTTCATCCCTAGGCTGGTTTTGTCGAATCCCTTAGCATGTTGGCCATCTATCTCTTTCGTGGATTTGGGTGAGCATAACTCCATGTTCTTGTTTTAAAAGTTTCCGATCAGCTTATGGAAGTGTCTATTATGTACAAAACCAAGTTAAAACCTAATGATCTATCTACCGTATTGTGGATGTTGCAACAGTTTCTTCTTTCCCAGTGCCTTTGATCACCTTTGTTTCTCTTGCATGCTCTTTTGTTAACATGGACCACTTCTTGTTTGGTTAGGGCGTGATTTTCGTCTTTTTTCTCCCACTTTTGTCTGAAGGCGTGAATTCCTTGTTGGGTAGGCAATAAGCAGAAGTTATCTCTAGTGTTTTCTATGCTTCTGCTGCAGTGTAATTAGTCGTTGTTTCAATTGGCCATAGAAGCGTTGTCATCCTCTCCTGCAAAGGTGACTATGGTCATAATTGTAAACTTTTGTCAGATTTACACTTAGATAGGTTGTTGGAGTTGAAATTTTGTTACGTGGTGCATGGTGGTAGGATACTGGTGTCACTTTACTTTTGCCTCAAGTGTTTGATGTTTATACCCATTTCAAAAGATGACTGAAATTTCTGAATGGGCCACTGGCAGTGCATTGAACTGTTACCATTTTCATGTTCATTGTTAAATAATTTCTTTTTGAAACCAGGTTTCACAGTTGATAGCATATCAGTTCCTATTGCAAATTAGTGTTCTACCTATTATCCCATTAAAATTTGAGGCATTCTTTTTCTTTTCTCAGTGTCTACAATGGCATGCCAACTGCAACTACATTGCTACTGGATCTAGTGACAAAACTGTTCGTCTTTGGGATGTTCAAAGTGGGGAGTGCGTTAGGATTTTCATTGGTCACAGGAGTATGATATTGTCATTGGCAATGTCTCCAGATGGTCGGTACATGGCATCTGGTGACGAGGATGGTACAATCATGATGTGGGACCTTGCAAGTGGTCGTTGTGTTACTCCTTTGGTCGGTCATACATCCTGTGTCTGGTCGCTGGCTTTTAGGTGAGGAGTCTTTAGTTTCCATACAAATTCGAAATGTAAAACCTCAAAATGAAGCATAGAGTCTAGTTCTTCTGACTTTGCCGATGCATTTATGTGTTATATAGTGGTGAAGGTTCGCTTCTTGCATCTGGTTCTGCTGATTGCACTGTAAAGTTGTGGGATGTGACTGGAAGTACAAAACTCCTGAAGACAGATGAAAAGTAAGTTTAATGTTACTTTGTACACAGACTGTCATGTTTTTGGTTTTCTGGAGATTCTCTAATCTGGTTTCACAAATCATCAGCAAACATGGAAGTACCAACAGGCTACGATCATTAAAGACTCTCCCTACCAAATGCACTCCTGTTTATGCTCTACAGGTAAGTTGATATGTTCAACGGCATTATATGATTTAGATTTTAAACATATTTCACTGGTTTAGATTCTGCATAACCTGTTCCTGTGCATTTCTTTGAAAACAGTTTTCCCGAAGAAATCTTCTATTTGCTGCTGGAGTACTTTCCAGGAATGTTTGATGTGCAAATATAACCAGGAGTTGATTGATGCTACTTCTGGAAAGAGTATTGAATGTGAACTTTCTGTCGGTTTTTAGCTGCTATGTTGTACTGGACTAATATCTTTTGAACTTTATCTTCAGATTTAGTTTAACTTGGTTTAGTCATCCGTTTCTAGCAACTGTAGTTTCAAGGCAAATCTATAGAGATGTAAGTTTGACGATTAAGGTTAAAAATATTGATTTATTTTCTCGCAAGTTTTCTTTGAAGTTTTTGCCTTTGGGGCAACTATGCGAGTTATTTTTTCTTCTTTATTTTGCCCCTTAAACGAAGTTTTATCTAACAGTTTTTACTTTTTTGAGTGAATGGTAATAATTGTCATTCCATCCATACTAAAAGAACTATTCTTCCAGTTCGATGAAAATAATCCACATTTTGTTTTAGGGTTTATATTAGATTTAGTACTAGTTTAAAAATTCGATGTAGACTAAATCTTTGCGATAGTATTTTTTTGATACATATTTAGGAAACTGTTAAAAAATAATTTTCTCAATGGATTAGTGGAAAAACAAAAATGATTGATCGTGCGACATGATGAATAAGGATAAGTTTTGAAAAATGATTCAAGATATTCATCCGCATCGATAACGGTCGATCATCATTTCTATGAACTTTTCCTATAATCAATTTACTAGATGCTTGGGTCGCCCGGCGGTGGTCGATCATCATTTCTATGAACTTTTCCTATAATCAATTTACTAGATGCTTGGGTCGCCCGGCGGTCGCCTTCAGATATTTTTTTTTTGATATTCTATAACATTGTTTCATAAGATTAAATTTTCTTATGTCAAAATAATAATAAAAAAATAATTTAAAAGTTAAATTGTACACTCTTGTGGGAGGAAGACTCATCTATAACATTGGAGGGATGTATCCCTACAGAACTTGGAAATCTCACTAATATATAGTGGCTTGGATATTTCAATAAATTGGATTGCAGTATTCCAGTAGAACTTGGAAAGGCCATCAATTTGCTGCATTTGAATCTTGCAAGTTCTACACTGGATGGTCCTATTCCAGCTGAGTTACACAATCTGGAAAGCTTGGATATTCACTTTTTTTGCAAAACAATCAGCTGAGTGGTTCAATTCCTCCCTAGTTAGAAAACTTCAATTTTTGAAGTCTCTTGATCTTTCAAATATTGCACTGACAGGAGAGATTCTAGTTGAGCTTCCAGCATTTCAGATCTTCACCTTCATCTATGAAAGAATTTGATAAGATTAAAACATGAGTTTCTAAAATATTGCAGATGCAAGATGCTATTGATGCTACAAATGTCATGCGACATAAATTTCGGGCACATTAACTCTAATAAATGATGTAACTGTGAAAGCCATCTAACCTTTTAAGTTTTCTGGTTGTTTAGTTTTAATTATGCGATGGATTCTCTTAACGCATCTTTGAAGTATAAACAAAGAACATCAAATGAAATACCTCTTTATTTAGCAGAGACGACCATTTTCAAGCGAAGTAGTACTTTCTAATATGATCTGCACAATTAAAAATAAATCAGAAAAAATTCAACCACAACATTCAGATTCACCACATTCACACTAACCTGTAGAACTGGTTTTGGCTTTCAGTAATATACTCAATAAGAAAATATATATTTTCAATGAAATGCCCTCATAATTTCCAAGAGATAACTCGAATATAAATAACCATTTTAATGCAAGATTTTCAGTTCTTCACTCTTCTAATCCTATTTAAGCTCTGTCATTTTTGTTCCACAAACCTCCTTCAAATGACAAAAATATTGTTGCACTAAAGAAAACCCGTAGGCATTTTTTAATCTATGTAAGTTTGAATTTTAGAATATTAACAAATCAAAAAATAAATAGTATTAATTTCTTAATTTAATAATCTTACTAAACAGACCATCAATATGCAATGTATAACAACAAAGAAACTATAGGAACAACCAACAAAGAAACAAAAAACAGAAATTTACCAAACAGAACAGAAAGCTTCAAACTTTACTAGTGCATCGTATAGAACAAACAGCAACCTGTATAACGAAAAGCCAGATTACCGTAAATGTAGTGAAGTTCCCTTTCTTGCTATCCACAGTTGTTTTCTTTGATTGGATCAACTGTCCAGATCGATACTATTATCTTGCTGTGAATGAGCACCCCCCTCCCCCCCAAAAAAAATTAATCACCTTAATTACTGGTGCATGCCCAACATTGGAGGAAGTGGTATAAATATCATCTTCTCTGATTGAAGATGCCCAACATTGAAAAGCTTAAAAACTATGAAAAAAGAATAAGAAAGAAAACCGAAATTACTACCTATCGGAACAAATTTTGCAGCAGCTCTAAAATCTTTCTTCTCTTCACCGGTAGTGTTGAGCACTGTAATCCCAGAATTGCAACATACCACAATAAATTCAATACCCTGTGGCTTGTATTATGGCTTCTTGTTCGATTTATAGTCCATGAGTCTGCACACAAAAGTCCATTTACATAGTCAATACTATTACACAGAATGGCACAAACATGAGACATGAGAATGGGACCTCCCATGAGAAAAGAAATGTTATCCTTTAGAATCAAAGCTTGATTAACAACATCAGAATATTAGGTTTCAAGTTATCCGACTAATTTAAAAAAAATCTCTTGCTCAACAATAAACTTACCAAATTAAATGCTCAGATCCATTTCAAATTCTTTGTTCCTCATCCACCACTGTTATTTTTCTCGCCGAATTTAGTTTCTGAATTTGACGAATCGTGATGGTAAACATGACGATGAGAATATCCGGCAAATTCAAATCAGAGGAAACCGTCAGCACCAATTGGAAAATTCAACGACAAACAAACGATTTTTGTTTGTTCCATAAAGAAATCAAAATCATCTATGAAATTTGCAGCCAAATCAATTAATATGAGTAAACCAAAAAGAGAGCAAGCATAGAGAGCAAGCATAGAGAGCAAGCATAGACAGTTTCTAGTTCCAACTTTGAATTAAGGTAGTCTCTCATCCACTGCTACGGTTGATCTTGTCTCTTTTTTTCGGTGATGGATCCAAATCCGATGATAGAGAGGGCGATAGGATAGGCGATGGAGAGGCAGATGAAATCATTTCAGCAAAGATATGATTTTTTGCTTCACATTGCTCAGAAATGAGAATGTCTTGACATTTTGATTTAGCTGTTTTGATTCAGCTGTTTGTGTAAGAGAAATTTTTGTACAATACAGTGCCGCAGGGAACTTGTCGATGCATTTAGCTTTTCATGTGGAGTATGTGGATCCTAAGTTTATTCTTTCAGTTTTCTCTATTCGATGCATATGGATATTTTCTTGAGATTGTCTCCTTAGGTGTGATTTCCTGATTTTGGTCATGGGATAAGGGTTGTCATGTACAGGGAAATTTAGGAACTGATTAGTTTGTTGTTGGTTTGGATTCTGGCCTTTTTTTCTTGGAACTCCAAAGTCCCTGATCTAGCTGGAAAGTATATATAACTCTTTTGCTGGATATTTCATTCATTAGTTCCCAACTTTGCTGTCTACTAACTATGAATAACCTTCTTGCCTTTTTTTGTGTGCATTGCATGATCATAGGACAAGTATCTCAATCTGGGGGATAGGGTTATTGAGGCTGTTGTTGAGGTGGAGGAGAAATCTGACCGTCGTCTAAATGAAGATGCACTATATCTCCATGCTGTTGGAGGTGAGAAAAAGAGAAGAGTATATGGCCTTGGCTCCCAAGCATGCTCTTATTATTCCTACGGTGCTAGAAAATCTGCACATTCTGAGGTGGAGGGACAAAGCAAGAAGCAGATTCAGAATTTTACTAGCAGGGTTGATGCTTATACTTTGCAAATGGAGAAGCTGCAAACTAAAATGAAGAAGTGGCAGAATGCAATGGAGTCGTGGTGAAAGGAAAATGGTGTTTCCTTTCCGCAGTTTGCTATTGAGGATGATCAAAGTCTTCAAGGGTCGAAAGAGCAAACTAATCCAGATTCGAATGCAAGTGATTCGGATGACAGTTTCATGCAGGATGACGACAACCTAAGTGATTGAAGTTCAATAGGTGATAGTCGTACTTTGTTGGTTTTGGATTAGTTTCAAAAAGTATGGTTCTTTTTTTTGGTGTTATGACAATGATTTCACCTTTTGTTGAATTATATCATTGTTTACAACTTTGTTGAATGGTATTTCGGATATTTTCCAATTGGTCATTTTGATATTATCAAATTGGAATTACAATTATTGGGTTCCTGTGGTGTAATACAAAACATCATAGGCATAAATATAAATATTATTGTTGCAGCAATACAATAGTACGTTACCCACGACATAAATCATGGGTAATTCATTTGCCAATTCGGTTGTTTAGCCACGATAGACCCTCCGTGGGTAAATGTATAAATTAAAATTAAAAAAATTTGTTATTTTATCCACGGATTCCGTGGGTGAATTCATGAGTGTTTGTTATCAATTGCGTAAATGAAATGGTGATTCTCTCACGGAAGTTCCCACAATAGCAGGCGTGGTGAAGTTCCCACGCAACTTTGACTTCCGTGGGAGTCCAGATTACCCACGGGGGTTTCTCCCATGGCTAGCTTGCCGTGAGAGTAGCGTGGGTAAAATGTGTTACCCACGACCTCTAAATTATATTAACCACGACTCTTGGCCGTGGGTACTAACTGCTTTTTTTTTTTTTTTGTAGCAGATGACAATACAGAGAATGAACTTTCTAGTCTACAGATAGTGTAACAGGACGATTGGACTGGATTTAGAGTCAGGATACTTACATGTAAGAGAATTACTATCATCTATTTTACTCCAGCCACAACCATCACATACCAAACAAAAACAAATGGATACTTTGGCTTTTAACCAACAAGAAGAAACATAATTGGAATACAATTTTTGTCCATGAACAAGAAAACTGACTCCAAAAAACACAGGTCAGGCATAATAAGAGCTTATCAGACCAATAATCTGGAAAGCTTTTTTTCTTCCTCTATAGGGTAAACTAAAATTAAAAAAATATATAATTGACAAGACTTAATGGCAAAAAAGATGAAGTTAAACCACAATTTTCAAACCAAGCTAACATAATTAAAGCATATATCGGATTGGTGATGCCCCGGTTTCAGAAAACCACCATCAATCTTCATCACAACAATCATTGTCTGAACTACCACTTCCCAGTTGACCAATATCTGAGGATATATTGAATCAGTCCCGAAAATATTCCGGTAACAGAAGTACCTTAAGAAAAACAATATCTGGCAAATTTTCTATCAGAATTAAAAAAGTAGTCCCTCCGTCCCC